TGTATCTCTATTACTGTACTAAAATGTAGTCATCCAGCAACCCTTCGTGGCAGCTTTTCACTACAGCCAGCTGCACGGCACTCTGCTGTTGTATTGTGTTTTCCCACTTGAGCTCAGTGTCTCTGTTAAATATTTGATGTACTTTAAGATCAGGGATGTAGAGAGGAGAAACACTGACAGTGCTAAATCACAGCAGCTGGTGGAAAACAGGTGCACAAGACGATGGGAACTGGCAGGAAGAAGCAGAGCAAAATGTGGTATCTTGGTGCTGTTTAAAAAAAAAAAAAAAAATCTTACTTAATTCTAAGTAAATGTATTGCGAAGCCTTGCAGCACATTTTCCTGGCGACAGACAATCAAACAAAGCAGACATAAACACCTAGTGTTTGGTAAATAGATACAGGACAGCAGCATGCCACAATCAGAACTGCTTCCATGCTGGCTTATCCTTTTACAGAGATGTAAAAAAAAAAAAATTCCACAAAGACGTACCTGAGGGATTAATAAAGTCCCAGCCATCTATCTCTATCTAAAACTGCGGCTGAAATAAACAAAACACTTGTTCAGGAAACAACTCTGTACACGTGTAATCTTGAAGACCACTCTAATTGCTTTACAACGTTTTTGACCACAACTGCGGCTACTGCCATAAACCACTTCAGTGTCGGAAGCCTTGCACGAGGACAGTCTCTCTCTCTGTCATCAATGACATTCTGATTAGGACTACAGTTATTAACAAAAGGACTAGCTCTTTTGCTAACATAGGGATATCTATCAGATCAGTGTTTTTCAACCTTGGGGTCGCGGCCCACGTGGAGTCACCTGAAATGTCCTGTAACTAAAAAAAAGTATATGTATTTTTTTTCATGAATATAAATTAACATTAAATGCGGTATATAAAAATATCTGAGCCGGAGCTGAAATATAAAAATAATCTGGCTACTCTATTTGTAACATGGTACACAAAAAAAATAATTTAAAAAAAAAAAAAAAAAAAAAAAAAAAAACTCTCAAAAAGGTTGGGAACCACTGCGTTTTAATTGTTAATATAAAATTGATACTGATATACAGTAGTACTGTTGAATATTGATACTGTTTCAGAAACGAAATATCGCAATATTTCAATGTATCTACTTTCTTACACCTCTATTGGAATATGTGGTTGTCCACATTTCAATTATACTAATACATTACAAATATATTTAATTTTAAACCGTATACACTATACAGCACGCTGGTCAAACTCTTCTGCCTTTTCCTCTTTTACCATTCTGTCGAGTCCATCACACAGTCACAGTCAGCCTGAAACCGTCCATGCGTCTGATGATTTGGGTGCTTGTGTGTTTAAGTATTTATTGCTCAAGCTGTAAAGATGTCAGTGTTTCCGCTGATCACAGGGGAAAACGTCATCACCTGTGGTTTTCACTCCAAGGGGACGGCTGCGTCGTAAATCGACTGGTTCTCGCGGTTGTACCTGCGAAAGACGTCGAAATTACAGGAGCTGTAAAACATGCAAAGTAACGACGGGAATGCGCAGTGTTATTTTAACTGCACGAGATATGAGTGGTAATTAGTTTTCAAAGTTTTCTTTCAAATTCCTGAAGTGAAAACGGTTACAAGGCATATTGATAAACATATATAAACAAATATATATCTATATATGTACATATATACATAGATGTATATCTATGTATGTATATCTATCTACTGTATATATGTATATATATAAAGATATATAAAGATATATATGTATATATATATATATATGTATGCACATTATACACAGTATATTTATATTTGGCCCACGAGATCATATCAAATGTGTACTATAGTTGGCCCGCCAGTATACAGCCCCTAAAAACTGTCAGGATTTGTAGTATTAGCATTGTATGTTATAGCACATACTTTTGTTGTTGTTGTTGTTGGCCTATCTTTCAAAAACATAGATACAAACAAATATATTGATAATATACAATAATA